CCCGTTCTCGGAGCACTGGGGCCCTCGGTCGGTATTGGGTGGCTGTTACTCTGGTTCCCAAGCCGGGGGTCGGGGGACTGTGTGTGCTCCCACAGCGGGTGCGGAGGGCGTTCGAGGCCAGGGTGGATGACTGGATCATGAGTCACTGGAACCGGGAAGGGGCGAAGGGATAGGGAAAAGCTCCAAAGGGAAAAGCTCTGCTAAGTGCCTCACCCCTTCGCATGGTTCCCGGGCCCCTCTGTCCCACCATCTCTTACCCCATTATCTTGGCCCATGTATTGGTGCTGCCGGGTGTGGGGAGAGGCAGGGCTGTGGGCACTCAGCTCTGAGGCAGGGGAGAGGCAGATTCATGGATAGAAGCATGGAGAAGGCCAAGTAGGGGCTCATTAGCAGGTATCACCCAGCTTGGCCCTGGCTCTGCTCACCCTGCCTGGCCTTGAGCCGCTGAGCATGGCATGGAGCATGCCAGGAGTTTGGAAAGCCTGTGGATTTCCCTCAGCTCTGAGACCATGAAACCAGACATTCCCCGAGGAACCAGAGCAGGCTCAGCCCTGGGGAAAACACAGTCTCCCAGGGAGCTGCTCCATGAGGAGAAACTCTTCACGAGGAAGCACCAGACAGTGCTTCCCAGGCTGTGGGGAATGGAGGCAAACATGTGGCACACACAGGGCACGTGGGGCTCTCTGGGCCCCCAGCACGTCCCCCCTGTACCCCACAGGTGTGCCGGGTGGGAGGTGCTCACATGCGTGTGGGCACACACAGCCCTGCCGAGGGACGCGGTTTTTCCTGTCAGGGTTGGATGCTCTCCAGGAACGGTTGGAGATTTAAACTCAGTGGCTGCGGAAGCCTTGGGACTGCAAGTCAAAACATCCCAAAATACATTCCAGGCAGAGATAAAGAGCAGGATGAAACAGAACAAACCCTGAGGGAGGAACAAGGGGCTCAGGGTGGCATGTAGGCGGCAGGACCTGCACCCCCTGCTTGTCCCTCCACTCAGGGTGGTGGACACAGACTTCCCTGCTCCACAGCAGCTGGAGCTGGGATGCCTCTGGGGTCGTGCTGGTGGGACAGGACCCCCACATTCTGCTGCAGCAGCTGGAATAGTTGCAGAGCCCTTTTTTCCCCCCTGAAGCAGTGCAGACCCGTCAGGCAGCAGTGTGGGGGCTGCGCGGGGTGGTTGCAGCCTTCCAGCTCCTGCAGCACCAGTAAGATGTTGTGCAGGGGACCCCAACAGTCAATGTGTCCCCTACAGAAATGCTGGGGAGGGGCCACCTCACTGGGCGGGGGTGGGGCACACGGACCGGTGCCCCTCGCTGGACCTGCCCCAGGGCATCAGAGATCCTGGCGATCCCGGTGAGGCGGAGCCGCCTTCGGGTGTCTCCGCAGGGATGCCGCAGCAGCCACAGTGAGCATAACACAGTGCAGCTCTGGGCCTGGTGCCCAGGCCTGCAGAGCTCCCCAAAACCTGCCCCCCACGTACCTCTGGGGCAGGGCTGCTCCCTCCCGGCGCTGCCTTTGCTGCCCTAGAGCATCCCCCGGGCCGGGGCAGAGCCTGCCCGCGGCCGATCGGTGCCTCCCGCTCCGGAGCCTTCTCCTCGCTCGGCCCGGGCGGAAATGCACTTTTTGGAAGCGCAGGAGGCAGCCAGGCGCGGGACGAGGCTTGCAGCCCTCCCCCGCCAGATGTGCGCCCGCGGCCGCCTTAACCATGTGTGCTCCCGGGACAGGCCGA